TTTATGGCACTCTTTCTCTATCCTATTTTCACTCCATCTTTGATATGGGTAAAGGGGTTCTCAAAAGTTTTTTAATGAATGTCCATGAAAGATTTTACAATTATACCTTTTAGCTTTACTAAGCACAGGTCAGTTCAGTGGAAAACAAGCCATTTGAATATTACCAAGAATCTAACTTATCTCTATATTTCTTCCATATATTCATTTGCTTAATTGTAACATAGAGCCCCCTAACCTCAGGAAACACTCTCTCAGACCACATTTCCTTGGCTTTGAGATTGCTGCTGCCTCACAGTTCTAATACCTGTTTGGAAATGAGAGAAAAGAAAGGAAGGAGAAGTAAGAGGAGGGGAGGGTCATGCAGAAAGGGAACGAAGGAAGAAAGGAGGCCACACCCACCCAAACCCTCACAACACCTTGAGAAACAGGGCAAGATATCATTTCCAGGCAAGACATCCCCTTACAGAGGAGAAGTTCCAGAGAACTTAAGGCAGCTCTAGGAGGGACGGGAGCAGGGGTTAAGGCGGCCCTCACAGCACAGCCTGAGAAGAAATCACAATGCACTTACCCATACACTGAGCCTCTCTAACACACATGCACACAGCACACCTCTTGGCTCCAAAGCCAACACTGGAAGCATGCACACACCGTCATGTTCAACTACACACTGACTTATGTATGGCCTGCCTGGGAGACAGCCCTCAGAAGGGACCCAGGGGCTTGGCCTGCAGCTGCAGGTTCTCTGCAGGCTGCACAGCTCACCTGGTGGCTCTGACAGTGACTCTGAGGTCTGTGTGTTGAGAGCGACTTTCCTCTTTCCTTTTGGGAGGCTCTCACCCGCTTCTTGTCAGGCTGGGAGAGCTTGCTACTAATTAATGACCAAAACAGAGTACTGTACCCTCCAGGGGGGCACTGATTCATTACAAAAGCCAAACCTAGTTATAGCAGGTAACTACAACAAAGAGGAAACCACAAGGCACCCCATCTGATTAGCACCAAGAACTTGGTACCCATCATTTTCTCACCTCTCATATGCCAGTTGCCGACTCTGATAAGGAAAAGGAGCACCTCTTGCTGGACTGGGGCACCCCACAGGTACCAGGAGGAACAGAATGGAACCTCAGGACTTTCTAAAGTCTCCTGCCCCGCATGTGCCCTCAGTGCCACTGCTGCATATGGGAAGACAGCACAGCTGGAGGGCTGAGTGATCTCAGGCAAGTCACTGCCCTTATCTCTCTCTCAAATTATCATCAGCTAAGGACTGTAGTAGCTGCCCTTCTACCTTCTAGGGCTGCTGTGAGGACACAATGAGGTAACAGAGAAAGGCTGAAGTGAAGCATAGCCAGACACAAGGTACTGTCTCTACATTACCTTTCACCAGGAGAACTGAAGGGCCACATATGACATTTTGCTTTCTGTTTTATTCTAAACAGTTGAAGATACTGAAGACTCTCTGTGTGTGTGTAAGAGAGAGAGAGAGAGAGAGAGAGAGAGAGAGAGAAAATATGAGGACATCTCAGGATGGTGCCAGATGCCCTTTTACCTAGGGTTACCAGGGAAGTCATTTCTCACAACAATCACTATACTGAAATTCTAATAAAATATTTTCACGGCCTCCGCCACTGTTATTAAAAGATTTGATCTATATTATACATAATCACTTACCCAGAAAGAGACAACTCTCAATTATCCATTAAAATGAAGGAAATAATAAAGTGAATGACACAAACTGGCCCGAATCCCCAAATCTCCTATCAGTTGGCTTTGGAATATATATTGTTGTACTTTTGCAATTGATGAAAGAAGTGTCAGGTGCGTTTTCAAAACTTCCAAAGGAATCATGAAGCTACACTTCATGGAGTTTACCCCATACTCATCTTTCCCCTTCATTATAGTTACTCTCAGGCAGAGCAAAGCCTTAACCTAAGAAAAGCTACAGGAAGGGAAACTGCTTCGAATTTTTCAGCTTTGATTTCCAAGGTGTGAGCTGAGTTTCTCTGAACAGTGAGTGGGGAGGAGACTATTGAGAAGGGGCTATTAAAACAATGAACTTTTGCTTTCTCAAATAATTCTTTCTTTGAATTCCTATTGTATGTCATAGAGGAATTATGAAAAAGCAAATCAGTGATAATGCTAAAGATCGTACTGCAGAGAAGTGAGAACAGCAAGAACTCATGCAAAGATTGGCCTGAAGGGAAGCCCCCAGGCAGGCCAGTGGGGCAACTGAGGACTGCCTTCACCCACAGCCTTCAAAAGAGTCAGAGCAGGTGAGTGGACAGGCGATGGGACACAGGATGTGGCTGAAGGAAGGGACAGAGTGAGCAGATAAATGAGTGGGTGGACGGAGTGGAGGGCTGGTGCAGGTGTGTTTGAAGCTGGGTGAGAAAGTGTGGGTGGACAAAGGGAAAGCTGAGCAGTCCTCAGAGGCCAAGGATACCCACAGTCAGCAGAATATTTCTGCATCCTCAAGAAAGTAGGACACAGAATGACTTACCAGGACTTGGGGTTCCCTGGTTGTAAGGTATTTCTGTCATGACTAAAGATCTTCAGACCACTAAGAGAAATTAATTCAGATCCGCTTCTGGGGTTCTAGATAGGCATTGGAGGAAGTTGGAGCCCTGAAATATCATAATCTTTGTGTGGCCATCCCTGAACAGGAGAGACTCTGGCCCAGGTGTGGAACAGAGGCTCCAGCACTTTGCAGTAGAAAGATGGAAGACAGGAGAGAGAGAAAGGCCCAGACAAGACATGCTTCAGAATATGAGCTGCCTGCAGGAAAGATAAAGGGCTGCAGTGGCAGTGGAAGCTAGAGCGTGATCCTGAAGACCTGACAAGACTCAGGGTGTGCACAGGACATGCTACACAGGACTGAGCTGGGAAAGGGCCTGGGAGGATTTCTAGGTCTGAGGGGGAGAGCCTACAATCATGGTGGCATTTTTTGGAGCATCTCTCCCACCCAAGTCCCATCTATGTTCTTAAGACTCTGACAGATTCAGTACTAACCACGTGGTTTCAACAGTTCATTGAAAACCACATTGACAACCAGGGAAAATAGAGAGAATCGGATTGAGTTAGTATTTTTCTTGGTTTTGCAAATGAATAAATGTATCCAAACTGAATACAACAGCAGTGCACAATTCAATAAAAACTACCTAAACTCATTAACTTTGAAAAAGCATGTACATTTAAGAAAGATTACAGCTACACAAACCTGTGATTTTACATTTTATTAATCCCTCAAAATTAACAGGCACCAAACACTAGTCTTTCCATTAGAGGGTAACCTTACTGAGTACCTGCATCTCACTTCTCTGTGGTTCAGGTACGGCAAGGAGAGAACTTCAGATGTGGAAGGGACCTTAAGAACCAACTGTCTAACACTCTCACTGAATAAATGAGGAATTTGAGGCCCAAATAAGTTAAGAAACAGAAATTTATCTTTTAATAGCAATATTTATCACTGATTTGAAAATGTTTTACTTGCATTTATAATATTGCGCATATTTTAATTAGATGTCTTTTTTTATAGATCATCTAATAGTTAATTTATATAAATCTATGATTGTAATTCAGAACCAGAGTTTCTAAAGAAAGCTAAGAATTTGCTTTTGCACAACCTGAAACATTTATTGTATAAGATTTGTAGGAAAAATGGAGACTATGTTTAATTAGAATTTCAGAATGAAAACATACAGAATCTGGGTCTTATTAAACCAAATCCTCTGTAAAATTCAGCAATCTCCTTATATTTTTATATAGGTCAATGTATTTCTAATATGATGCTCTTTAAAGTATCTAGTGGTATTGCGAACATTTATAGAAGTTGCAAAGCCTAAAAAATGGAATCATAATTATTTATTATATACTTTCTTTTGCATAATTTATAAAATAATTAAGATTTCAAGACCTAAATCATGAATATTCTGACAATCCTCTCTAGATACTGACTGACATTAATTCTTAATAAATTAAGAAGAAAGAAAACCTGTCAAGGCTGAAAATATGCACAGCAGGAAGCAGATCTGATAACTAAAAATAGGTCACTTCACAGAACACTGTACCCTGATGTGATATGCGCCCAGGGAAAATTAATGAGCACATCAATGTAACACATCCTGAATAAAGGACATCAACAATAGCCACTTCGCCTAATCCTATCCCTAAATGTCAAACATTGTGTCATATTACTACATGACTTCCCAGTGTCTGCTACTTGTGCAGGTGAATCTGTAGCTATGTGCACATAATCCAGTTAAAACTGATCTGATTGAACCGTAAACAGAGTCGATAAAAGAGAAGCTTATTACTGTAGTGCCTAATATGAATATCGCTTACATTTTAAAGAACATAGTATGTAGCAGCAATTTAAAATGCTCAGTAAACTATGGTACAAACGGACTTCCATGCTCTATAGCAAACCAACATTCTTAGTATCTCTACATCATAGTGACACATAGAAGGGAGCTACTTGGCCAGTTACTTTACATATTGCCAGTTTATTTCTTTGTTCCAGTTGGACAGTAGCAACATAATTGATTCCTAAACTGGTATGATATGTACTCAGTGGTGATTTTTCTTTCAATTCTTCTGGTTAGCACACAGGAGGTTCCTTATTGGTACCTTTCTAACAACAGCTCATATTCATATCTGGAATTCAGGTTTTTTATATCATTTAGATGCAGTGATAAGGATTTAAAATAAATGCTGGCAGCTGAAGACACATTTTTTTCCTTCCTTCCTTCCATCATTCACCTGCACGTCAACTGCAGATACCTAACTGATCAAGGATGAGTGTTGTTATAAAGGTAACACAGCACAAAGGAGGCTATCTTTCTTTCCAAGATGATGAAAAGTATTCTAGGGGGAGTTCCAGTCAATAACCCCTTGTTTGGGAGATAATAAGTACTATCTCTTTTAAAATGTGTTTTCAGTAGCTCACTTGAAATAATGGGTTATTTCAGGCAAGTATTGTATTGTCAATATTTTCCTTGATATCACTTTCAGACCCGTGATATGAATCCCAGGCCCAGGCTGGCTGGAATCTGGATGGTTTCTAGTGCAAGGGAAGATGGGTTAAAAGGAAAGGTGACCGGGAAGATGTGTTTAGCATCCATGAGCAGCTGAGGAGAGTCTTTCCTGTCTCGTAAACGCATCTGAGAAGATTAAAAAAAGAAAAACAAAAAAACAGAGCATCAATTCTTTGAATCTACAAAGATTTTTTTTGACAAAATTCTACCAAAAATCCTCAACTAATGAAGAATATTTATATTTGTTTTAAAATCACTTCATTTTTCCAATAAGGTGTTATCAAGAAAGGTAATGCACTATAAAAATGAGATAAAATAATTAAAATAAAAACTGCATTACCCTTCAATAAATTATAAAATTTCCATTCAAATGACTGTGTTGGTGAATCAAAGCAAATGAAAGCCTGGGAGATCTTACCTGTATAGTACGAATAAATGACACAGAGACTCTTTCTTCAAACTCGTTAACTGGAGTATACAAATTCAACACTTTGACAATCTGGGAGAAATAAAATGATCAAAGTCTTTAGCATATTATCAAATACATACATGCTGGGTGCCTGTAATCTGGAAAACTAAAAGGATCTCTGCATATAGTTTTCAGTTCTACTCAGGGCTTGGTTAGGGCAAGAGGGGAGAGGGAGTGGTTCTGAAGGCACATTTACCTTTATTAGTTGAATTTTTAAAATAAGAATGTATTAATGTAATATTTTATTTTACACTTTAAGAAGCAACATAAATTTGAAAAAACATGAAAAGTAAAAGTGCTCCCACCTGTATGCTCAGTCTCTCAAAGTAACAATAGTTAACAGTGTCCTGTGTATTCAGCTAGTTACTTTCTGTATGTATTCTATGTGTAATCTATGTAAGATTTCTATGTTTTGAGATAAGTGATGAACATTAAAAAATCCAAGAGTCAGCACAGAAATAACTAGGCAAAAGAAAAGTGGGTATGTTTATGCCTATGCCTTGCCTCATGCTGTGGCCATTGTTCTCAAATGCCCTTCCCATCTTTTCATTTCCTTAAATTCAATGCACAGCTAAATAACTTTCCCTGAACGATCAGTTATTGCCCCTTAGCACCATTTGGAATCCTCCCTCTAGCAAATTAGTGCTGAGGGCTTAACTACCTACCAATGGGCCAGCACCAGCCCTGGCCTCCCCTGAGCCCCGTGGCCAGCCGTGCTATAAGCTGGCCCTGCCAAAAAATGGGCAGCAGAAACCAAAGGAAGCAGGGTGGGGCAGCCAACCAGGCCAGGGGCCAGCCCCACCCACCACTGAGCCAACAGTAGTTCAGCCCTGCCACAACAGAAGGGCCTACACAGCCCACATAGGGGGTACCCCTAGACATATAGCTCTGGTGACCAGAGGGCAGCATGCTTCTGAGCCCCATAGGATGTTTCCTGCATAAGGCCACTTCTTTAAGATCGGGAAATGTATATGACCTACTTAATACACAGAAAAAAGACAGCAAACTGGGCAAAATGAGAAGACAGAGCAATGTGTTCCAAACAAAGGAATGAGACATAATCTCAGAAGAAGTACTAATAGAAGTGGAGATGAGCAATCTACAAGGTTATGATTATAAAGATGCTCAGTGAACTCAGGAGAAGAAGGGATGAATATAGTGAGAACTTCAACAAAGAGTTAGAAAATATAAAGAAGAACCAAAAGAGCTGAAGAAGACAACAGTAGACTAAATTATACAGAGGAATGGATCAGCGAGCTGGAAGACAATAGTGGAAATCACTGAAACTGAACAACAAAAAAAAAAGAATGAAAAAAAATGAGGATGGTTTAAGAGACCTCTGGGACAACTTAAGTGCACTAATACTCACATCGTAGGGGTTCCAGAAGGAGAAGACAGAGAGAAAGGGACAGAGAACTTATTTGAAGAAATAAAAGCTGGGAAAGGAAACAGACATCCAGATCCAGTAAGCACAGAGTCTCAAACAAGGTCAACCCAAAGAGGTCCACACCAAGACAGATTATAATTAAAATGGCAAAAATGTAAGATAAAGAGAAAATCTTTTCAAGAGAAAAGCAACTAGTTACATAAAAAGGAACTCCCATAACAACATCAGCAGACTTTTCAGCAGAAATTTTGCAGGCCAGAAGGGTGTGGGGTGATATATTCAAAGTAATGAAAGGAAAAAACCTATAACCAAGAATATTCTACCTGGCAAGGTTATCATTCATGTTTGAAGGAGAGATAAAGAGTTTTACAGACAAGCAAAAGCTAAAGGAGTTCAGCACCATCAAGCTAGCTTTATGTTTATATTTTAATTTTTTTAATGGGACTTCTCTAAGTGGAAAAGAAAAGGCCACAACTAGAAATATGAAAAGGGAGGGAAGAGGAAAGTTTAAGAGATAAAAGCCTACATCAAGAAACAAGAAAAATCTCAAATAAACAATCTAACCTTATACCTAAAGGAACTAGAAAAACAAGAACAAACAAAATCCAAAGTTAGTAGAAGGAAAAAAAATCAGAATGGACATGAATGAAATAGAGACTACAAAAACAACAGAATAAAAATCAATGAAACTAAGAGCTGGTCTTTTGAAAAGATAAAGAAAATTGATAAACTATTAGCCACATTTATCAAGACAAAAAGAGAGAGGGCCCAAATACATAAAATCAGAAATGAAAGGGAGAAGTTACAATTGACATCACAGAAATACAAACGATCGTAAGACATTATTATGAATAATTATATGCCAATAAAATGGACAACCTAGAAGAAATGGATAAGTTCCTAGAAATATACAGTCTCCCAAGACTGAATCAGGAAGAAATAGAAAATATGGACAAATTGCAAGTAATTAAATCAAATCAGTAATCAAAAAGCTCCCAACAAACAAATGTCTAGGACTAGATGGCTTCACAGGGGAAGTCTGCCAAATATAAGAGTTAACACCTGAATCTACCCATCTCAATCTATTCCAAAAGAACAGAAGAGAAAGGAAAACTTCTGAACTCATTTTGCGAGTCCACGTCACCCTGATACCAAAACCAGACAAAAATACCACAAAAAAGGAAATTATAGGTCAGTATCACTGATGAACATAGTTGTAGAAATCCTCAACAAAATATTTGCCAATTGAATTTAACAGAACATTAAAAGAATCATACATCACGATCAAGCGGGAATTATCTCAGGGATGCAAGGATTTTACAATAACTATAAAACAATCAATGTGATACACCCCATTGGCAAACTGAAGAATGAAAACCATATGATCATCTCAATAGATGCAGAAAAAGCTTTTGACAAAACTCAACATCCATTTATGATAAAAACTCTCAACAAAGTGGGTATAGAGGGAACATACCTCAACATAATAAAACACATATATGACAAACCCACAGTCAACATCATACTCATGGTAAAATGGTGAAAGCATTTCCTCTAACAAAACAAGGATGCCCATTCTCACCACTTTTATTCAAAATGGTATTGAAAATCTTAGCCACAGAAATTAGCCAGGAAAAAAAAAGTAAAAGGAATCCAAATTGAAATGGAAGAAGTAAAACTGTCACTGTTTGCAGATGACAGGAAACTGTATATAGAAAATCCTAAAGATGCCACCAAGAAACTATTAGAACCAATAACTGAATTCAGTAAAGCTGCAGGATACAAAATTAATATACAGACAACTCTTGCATTTCTATACACTAATAATAAATTATCAGAACACAATCCCATTTATAATTGCACCAAAAAGAATAAAATACCTAGGAATAAATCTAAACAGGGAAGTGAAAGACGTGAACTTGGAAAACTATAAGACATTGATAAAAGAAAGTACAGATGACACAAACAAATCGAAAGATATACCAGGCTCATAAAGTGGAAGAATTAATATGGTTAAAATGACCATATTACCCAAGGCAACTACATATTCAATGCAATCTCTATCAAAATACCAAAAGCATTTTTCACAGAACAAATAATTCTAAAATTTGTATGGAAACACAAAACACTGAGTAGCCAAAGCAACCTTGAGAAAGAAGTACTAATACAAAGCTAGAGGTATCATGCTCCCTGATTTCAAACCATACTAAAAAGCTACAGTAATCAAAACAGTATGGTACTGGCACAAAAACTGACACATAGATTGATGGAAAAGGAAAGAGAACCCAGAAATAAACCTACTCTTTTATGGTCAATTAATCTACAGTAAGGGAGGCAAGAATATACAATGTGGAAAAGACAGCTTCTTCAGTAAACGGTGTTGTGAAAACTGGACAGCTATATGCAAAAGAATCAAACTAGACCATTTTTTCATACCACTTAGAAAAATAAACTCAAAATGGATTAAGGACTTAAATTTAAGACCTTAAACTCTTAGAAGAAAATACAAGCAGTACTTTTTTTTTTTTTTTTTTTTTAAAACCCCAAGCATTTTTTTTTTTTTTTTTTTTGCGATATGTGGGCCTCTCACTGTCGTGGCCCCTCCCGTTGCCGGACGCGCAAGCCCAGCGGCCACGGCCCACGGGCCCAGCCGCTCCGCGGCATGTGGGATCCTCCCGGACCGGGGCACGAACCCGTATCCCCCGCATCGGCAGGCGGACCCTCAACCACTGCGCCACCAGGGAAGCCCCAAGCAGTACATTTTTTTTTTTTTTTTTTTTGCGATATGTGGGCCTCTCACTGTCGTGGCCCCTCCCGTTGCCGGACGCGCAAGCCCAGCGGCCACGGCCCACGGGCCCAGCCGCTCCGCGGCATGTGGGATCCTCCCGGACCGGGGCACGAACCCGTATCCCCCGCATCGGCAGGCGGACCCTCAACCACTGCGCCACCAGGGAAGCCCCAAGCAGTACATTTTTTTTTTTTTTTTTTTTGCGATATGTGGGCCTCTCACTGTCGTGGCCCCTCCCGTTGCCGGACGCGCAAGCCCAGCGGCCACGGCCCACGGGCCCAGCCGCTCCGCGGCATGTGGGATCCTCCCGGACCGGGGCACGAACCCGTATCCCCCGCATCGGCAGGCGGACCCTCAACCACTGCGCCACCAGGGAAGCCCCAAGCAGTACATTTTTTTTTTTTTTTTTTTTGCGATATGTGGGCCTCTCACTGTCGTGGCCCCTCCCGTTGCCGGACGCGCAAGCCCAGCGGCCACGGCCCACGGGCCCAGCCGCTCCGCGGCATGTGGGATCCTCCCGGACCGGGGCACGAACCCGTATCCCCCGCATCGGCAGGCGGACCCTCAACCACTGCGCCACCAGGGAGGCCCCAAGCAGTACATTTTTGACACTGGTCTTAGCAATATTTTTTTGATCTGTCTCCTCAGGCAAGAGAAACAAAAGCAAAAATAAACAAATGGGACCACATCAAACTAAAAAACTTTTGCACAGTGAAAGAAATTATCCACAAAATGAAAAAGCAGCTTACTGAATGGAAGAACATATTTGCAAACAATATATCTAATAAGGGGTTAATATCCAAAATATACAAAGAATTCATACAACTCAAATCAAAAAAAATAAATGACCTGATTAAAAAATGGGCAGAGGACCTCAACAGACATTTTTCCAAAGAAGACATACTGATGGGCAACAGGCACATGAAAAAATGCTCAACATCACTAATCACCAGAGAAATACGAATCAAAACCACAATGAAGTACTACCTCATACTAGTCAGAATGGCTATTATCAAAAAGATAACAAATAGTAAGTGTCGGTGAGGATGTGGAGAAAAGGGAATCCTCATGCACTGCTGGTGGGAATGTAAATTGGTGCAGCCACTATGGAAAACAGTATGGAGGTTGCTCAAAAAATTAAAAATACAACTATGATACAACCCAGCAATTCCACTTCTGGGTATTTTTCCAAAGACAACAAAAACACTAGTTTCAAAAGATATATGCACCCTTCTGTTCATTGCAGCATTATTTACAATAGCCAAGATATGGAAGCAATCTAAGTGTCTGTCGACAGACAAATGGATAAAGAAGACTGGTGTACACACACACACACACACACACACACACACAAGAATATAATTTAGCCATAAAAAAGAATGAAATATAGCCATTTGCAACACTATGAATGGACTTTGTAGACATTATGCTAAGTGAAATAAGTCAAACAATGACAAATACTGTAAGAGCTCACTTATATGTGGAATCCAAAAAACAAAACAAAGAAACCAAAAGAATGAAAATATACTCACAGATACAGAGAACAAATGGGTGGTTGCCAGAGGGGAGGGGCATGGGGTATTAAAATAGGTGAAGGGGATTAAGAGGTACAAACCTCCAGTTATAAAATAAATAAATAAAGCATGCGGATGTAATCTACAATATAAGGAATACGGTTAATAATATTTTAATAACTTTGTATGGGGACATATGATTGCTAGACTTATCACGGTTATCATTTTATAATGTATGGAAATGTCAAATCACTATGTAGTATACCTGAAACTAACATCATATTATACATCAGGTATATTTCAATTTAAAAAACACAATTATTTGTCTTAAAATAGAGAAGTCTAAAGAATCATTCAATTATTAAATAATATGGAAAATTCTTTTATGGAGTACAAACTCCATAGAATGTGTAGAATGTACACCCCCATGAAAACAGGGACTTTGTTTTGTTCATGGTTTTATCTTAGTGGCTAGAACATTATACAGAACAGTGTAGAGAGTGGATAAATAAGTACTGAATGTTGAATGTGCAGGACTGTGACTAGTACTGAAATATACTTTGTGGTAAAATCTCCCTTCTTCAAGATCTACAATATTGATATATATCGTCTCTGACACAGATGAAGTCAGCTCAGAGACAAAAGCAATAGCTAGAGACCTTCCTTACTTCCCTAAATGTCACTGTTGATGAATGTTAACTTGTTTTATAATAGGGAAAATCCCCTTACCTGGGCAGTAGTTAAAGCATTGCACATGGAACAAATGGCTTCTGCATCATCATCTGTTTTCTTTTTCACTTGCAAAAGCTGAGCAGCCTGAATGAGAGGTTCCAGGGTTTCCTTAGCCCCACTGTTCATCAGATTCTTGTCACGCAGCCATTCTTCTAGTTGACTGACATTGTACCTATGCCAGAAAAAGGGGGGTGATGCAAATTTACTGAATGTTATCATAAATGTCTTAATTTTTCTGTGCATGGCTTTGTCAGGAATTTCAGTTAAATTCTGTTTTTTAAAATCATTAGCTGTGCTTAAAAATTTATCACTATACATAATCAGGAGGTTTATAATCATAGTTATATAAGAGTAGGTATAATTCTAGAGACTATAATTCTCTTTAATGGGAGATAGAAATGTAGCCATTACAGCAAGTTATGAAATAAGATGTGCTAAAAACCAAAATAGAACACATAATATGGCTGTGTCCTTATTAAAGAGCCAAGCCGAAAATACTTTATAGCTTCTTACAACTTGAGAGGTGAGAATTGATAATCCTTTAAGTACTCTCTCTTCCTTAAGTCAGACTCCAAGCTAGTAGACATAATAACAAGATCCCCACATAGACCTTGTGCTCCGGCCCTCTTTAGGGAAGAGTCTGGGTGATGGAGGTAGTGGCCTGAGGAAGCTCAGGGATGAAGGCGAGAAGGGCAAGTGGGGGCCATGGGAAGAGACAAAGACCCAAAATATGAAGAGAGACATAGAAACTACACAGATGCGAGGTTTTAAGAGGTGGCCAACCAAGTGATAGTGGTTCGCATATGAGAGTGAGATAAATGGACCCACAGTCAGGACTTAGTAATCAGGCAAAGAGGAGCTTCATAGGTATAAACAGAGCTTGCAGAAAAATAAATTCTACGACCTGAGTGGAAAGCATTATCTTCTTACCACTACCTACAGTGGATGTGCGCAGTGGAAAATTTGAAAAGAAAGCCAACGCTTCCTAAGATTAACTACAGGCTTTCATAGGAGAAATCCTTTTTCCCCCTCGTGGTGAATTTTCTAGCTGTTTTAAAATAAATTATTTGAAAAAAAATTCCATTATGCTAATAAGGTTATGCTGAGGAGCAGCTGGACAAAATTGAGCACAGCTTTTCTTAAAATAGAAAGGGGCGTATTTCAAACATCAGTAAAAGATTTATTAGACATGTTCTTGTTGCCATAGGTACAAAAAGGTATTTTGTCAAAATAAATTTATAAGAGCAATCAAACATTAGCAATCTTCATTATAATTTGATATTTTGTTATTGTACAATTAAAACACACACAAAAGGAGAGGAAGCAGCTATCTCATCTTTATGTAGTTTTCATCATCTCCCCACTCCCTCAGATGAGTTATCGGGACTTTCCTGGTGGCATAGTGGTTAAGAGTCCACCTGCCAATGCAGGGGACACGAGTTTGACCCCTGGTCCGGGAAGATCCCACATGCCGCGGGGCAACTAAGCCTGTGCGTCACAACTACTGAGCCTGCACTCTAGAGACTGCGAGCCACAACTACTGAGCCCACGTGTCACAACTACTGAGCCTGTGCTCTAGAGCCCGCGAGCCACAACTACTGAGCCCACGTGCCACAACTACTGAGCCTGTGCTCTAGAGCCCGCGAGCCACAACTACTGAGCCCACGTGCCACAACTACTGAAGCCCACATGCCTAGAGCTCGTGCTCCACAAGAGAATCCACCACAATGAGAAGCCCGCACACCACAGTGAAGAACAGCCCCCACAGCAACGAAGACCCAACACAGCCAAAAATAAATAAATAAAAATAAATAAAGTTCCCTTTAAAAAAACAAAAAACAAAAACGAGTTATCTTCACATGGAGCAGGGTTCCTAACAAGCAGTGGGTTGCAAGGCATGGCCAGGAGCAATCACGAATGAGAGTGGAGGGTCCAGCCAGAAAAGAGGAAGCATCTCTGTTCCCAGTCTGCCCTTGCTGCTCACCTGGTGGGGAGTGGGGGTGGGGGCAGTGGACATCAGGTACACTAGCCTCACACGAGCCCCGGCAAGCGGTTGGGCAGCATGAAAAGGCCATGGCAGCTGTTGGTGTTCGCTCACCTGATCTGCATGCCTTTACTCCAGGAGCACATGTCCTTCCGTAGGAGGAGGTTGTTCAGTGTGACGGCCCCCACGATGTAGAACATCTGCTTGACCACCTGCTTGATCAGTTCGGGGTCCATGCCGTGCTGACACATGACTGAGTGGAAGGAGTTGAGCTGCCGCAGGATGGAGTCCAGTGTGTAGGTACCCTCATCAGCAATGCTGGAGGTTCGCTTTCTTAGCCCTGTGGGCTTCACCCCAGACACACCCTGAATGGTTTCATGCTCTAGCATTCCAGAGACTGCAAGAGAAGTTCAAGTGTCAGAAAAGAAGATCTGGAAGGAAACGTGTGCACACACACACAAAGACACAGACATACACACATACAGTTTATGAAAATGATTTGAGTATCAACATAGAGGGAAAAAGAACTCAATAAAAGGGCTTCTGGATTTTAAACTTTAATGTAGGAATAATTCTTAAATTCAAAAAAAATAGTAATAATTCTTAAATTCAAAAATTTACCATGAAATTAGGAACTCTTAATGGCCCATTTCCTGAAATATGAAGCCTTGTAATAGCACGTGTGAGGTACCTTGGGAGGGTTTTTGAGAGAGATGTATGGAACAGTTAGGGAGAAGATAAAAATTCTCCAGTAATATCGAGCCCCGGAGGCAAACAAATCAAGTAGCAAGAAAGGCAGGAGACCAGGCAGTGGTCTTGGAGAAGACTTGGGAGAGGGCAGTTGTGTGGGGCTAGAGAGCTGGGCCCTTCCTTGCCCTGAGCTTCCCACAACAGTAGGGAGACCTTGGGCTGGCCTTAGCCTCCCAGGACTCAGTCTTCTCATCTGGGGCACTGCTGCTCCCTCTATTATGCTTTTGTAGCATTTGGCTTCTGCCTCCTCTAGGATGGTTTTGGGATGCCCACTCCCTGGACTGGAAGCCCCCTTGAGAGCAGGGGCCAATCCTGATTCATTGTTATATGTCCTAGAGCTAAATGCAGCTTCCAAAGAACTTCATACTGACTCGAAACATTTATTGTTGTAAAATCATTGGGAGATGCAGCTAGTGGCACATCTAAAGGTAAAATTTCTTATTTAGCCAATAAAACCAGGCAAAAGTAGAAGAGAATGGACTGAAGCTGACCTTCTCTGCATCTGTGTTACCTCATGCATTTTTGCTGACCTACGTTGCTTTAAATTCATGACCTTTTAGGCGTTAGCTGAAGAAACCATTGCCATCCCCCATGGCTTCCTCAGCCTTCTATATTTCTAGTTGGTTAAAGGGGGGCCTGCAATAAAACATGGGACACTAGGAGCCCACAGAGGTGAGATGAAGTTGTACAAATGTGGAAAACACATGGATGGGGAAGGAAAGGGTAACTGGTAGTAGCCTTAAGAGGCTGTTGATAATTTGCTTGACGATAATACAGTTTGGTAACTTAAAAAATTTTTTTAAAAAGTTCAATGCATTCAAAATTAGCAGCCTGCAATTTGTACATGCCTTCTAATTCCTATTTCACACCTGCTACACATTCCAAAGGAATACAGGTAGAATGATACATAAATACACACCCAGAGTGAGTACACACATATAAAGATAGGTATATGAAATCACACATAAGTAGAAACACACACACACACACACACACACACACACACACACACACACACACACACACACACCCCAGTTTCTCATCCAATGAGAAACTGCTACTTTAAACCAAATTGCCTTTAACAATTCCATAGGGGTCATGAGATGTTCCACTCAGCATGGAGTGTCTGAGACCTGTTTTTGTTGCCATGGTACCTTCCCAGCCCTCTTACTGTAGCCTAACAGGTAAAGTACAAACCCTCCCCAGCCTCCTTCATTTTAGACGGGTCCCTAGGAAGCTCTGTGTAGTAGTACGCTAGACCAAAGTTTAAAGTGTTTTTGAAAACTGGATGAGGTCTGAGGTCTACTGCTGGGTATAAAGCATGACCCAATCATAAGAGAGAGGCATTACACATTAGGGAAGTAAACTATATACTGCCATTTCCATCATGTGGAAGCAGTGACTTTGAGGTACCCCAGTTCATCATGGCTGCGGTTCTGGGATTCCTCAGCTAATTTTGAGACTGAGTCTTACTACTTTATGTTCTCCATATGAATACATGCTCCAACACATGTGCCACTGGTGGTCATCTATTGGCGGGCACATGAGGTAGACAGACCTGGATGTCAGCAATATGCCCTGGCCTTACCGATCATTGGCTGAAGGATGTTCTCTAACACCCGCACGAGCTGCTGGTAGATCTGAATGGCCAAGTCACTTAGCACCTGTCGGTACTCAGCCAGGTCAAAATTGGTGAGGCAGTGTTCATTCTGGCGAGATGTGTTGTGTTTCATAAAGCCCTAGAGCCATAACGGAGAGTTAATGATACAGATGAAGTAAAATGTCTCCTGTTTAACTCTCTCATTTGATAGGCATCCTCATGCTCTTTTTTCCTTTCTCCAAAGAGTTCCCATTCCAACCTACACATAAATGCCAGGATACTCCTCCTCAAATTCTGTGTGTTTGTTTCCATCACGTCTCCCCTTCCACTTCTTACTAGCGTTTGAATAATCTAAACTTGGCAACCTAGCATTTAAGCTTTTCCACCAGCAATGGCAATGAAACAAGATGGGGGAACTTAATTTGAAAAAAAAACTAATGAGTGTTTTCACTTATGAAACAGCTGGTTCACTGCCAAGCACTAAATTATCTAAAGTAGTAATCTCTTAACTTCAGTTCATTAAATATAGCCCTATTTATAAATACTACACTGAAAGGACGTAAATAATCTTCTTAAAATTGATCAATTTCTACAGACTGGTGAATAAATAAAAAATTTCTCTTTACTATATTTTACTGTATCCATACATGATTCTCAGTCTGAGCTTAGAATGGAATCTTTTGGTGATATTTGTTAAAATGGAAAGCCAACTGTACAGGCAGGTACTTCTGTCAGGCCCTGCCTGACAAAGACAATTGCCTACTTGATGGATTCTGCCCACGCTCAAGCATCTGCCTCCCTGCAACCTACTTTACAACATGGTCTAGAACTGGGGAGTGAAAGGACAGTTAATAGGCCCTCTGGAGGATTCTGTTCTGCTAGTCCCATCTGCTCAAGGACCATGTCTTGCTCATATTGCATTCCCCATCATCTGCCAGGACAGTCCTTTGCCCCTAGCCTGTGGGTGCTCAGAAAGTACTACTGCTCAGCTTCTCTGCCTGCCCTCCCAGCAAAGGATGGGGAAGTACGAAGGGCAGTGGTTATGGACAGAGGCTCTTGGAGGTGGGCAGACCCAGAATCCTAGCTCAGCTCCTTATGACTGAGAGCACCTGGGCAAAGTGATGAACTTCTTTGAGCTTTAGTTTCCTCATCTGTAAAGCTGGGTTATAATTCCTACCTCACTGAGATGTTAAACAAGAATTAAACAACATAATGTACAATAAATGCTGTCTGATACATACTAAGCAGCCCTTAATAAATGATAATTATTAATATACTACATAGCTTTGAAATATGAAGTCTATCAACCAACTGATGACCACATCACTATAAGCAAAAGCAAAAATATCTGTGGACAAATCTAAAGAGACATGTTTTACCTTGATCACCTTTAATGTATTACACAAGCCAAAACTGATTAATTTCTTTAAATAGCTCAATATTCCTACATCAGTCCTTGAAAAGCCCATTTTCACATCTTAACAAAAAGTTTCAGTGCGATAACCATTCAATCACCAATGCTCATTTTATTTCTGCTGTGCTTTCTCATAATACAAACTCGCAGAGGGAAGAAACTCTGTCACTTCCCAAGTCAGTTTTGTAAATAATGAACATCAAACAAAGCTATGAACTTCCAAGCCACCTCTGAATTCAGGTTTCTAAATTAACAAATGGCTAAATAGTTTGTGCTTTAAATTTTTTTCCTTAAAAAGGTCAGAGAAAGTATAGCATGCTGGTTTTGTGATCAAGGCTTTCTCACCTCTTCTCCACTGTACTGCTTCAAACAGTGCAAAAATCGGCATGTGTTAGAAAGCCAGAAGGAGACAGTTTCAAAATCATCACCTCTTTTCTGAAAGAGAGAATAAGCCTAAATTAGCTTTTTCCTTAGGGAAATAATAGCCTGAAAAAACCAAACAGATCCCAGAAGGCCCATTTCCTTCACTTACCATTAACAACAGTTATAAAAATAAATCACACTGCAGTTGTAAAGCCTCATATCGTTGCTAGAGAATTTCAACCACTGAGTTCACTGGTTGTTTGTTACTTTGCTTGGCAATTAGAAAACGCCATTAGAAAATGATGCCTGGTCATGCAATTGATATTCGCTTAGCAGTCCCTTTAAGCAGAAAACAATTCACCAAGCCACAGCTTACCCAAACTCACTTCCCTGAGGGTTACTGAAGGGAATCAGAAAGGACTAAAGGCACAAAAGGGAATTACAAATATTGTGAAGCACTGAAACCCAGATTAGGTTAAAAATTTTGTCAATGATAAGATAAAATTTCTGGGGAGCTAATGAGAAATGGAATGGAGGAAGCCCTGCGCAGAGCAGTGGAGAGTTTGGCTCTTCATCAGGTCTGGGCCACGTGTCAAACCACCTCTGCAAAATCAAACCAGGGACACACGACAAATACACTTCAGTTCAAAAAGGGATGTGAAACAAATGCACATCCATTTAAAATGGTATCAAAAGGGTGCTGTATTCAAGTATCTACTCCTTTTTAATCTTTAAACAGTTTGGTACAATAATGAGTCAAATTAGATAAATTTAGAAGAATTTATCCAAATTTTCTCATCTTGCAAGTAAGATGAGAGGGAGAAAACTTTACGATTTGGCTTTGTTGTCTTTGTAGGAGTTGACTTAAAAAGTAGTAAAACTCGTAGTCTATCTAAATGTAATACAGCATCAATACACCAAAAATTAAATGAGTTACATTCAGAAGACATTCATCAATTTTTGAATGTTAAATATTCAGAAACTCCACACTTTAGTAAGCACTGTAGAAAGTAACCACATAGACTATCTGTGCAGGAGGGACTGAGAACCAGCATTAAAAGTTATGACCAGGGGCTGGGGGAGGGTGTGTTTAATGGGTACAGAGTTTCAGATGCGGAAGATGAAAAAGTTCTGGAGATGATGGTGGTGATGGTTATACAACAGTATGAATGTACTTAATGCCACAGAACAGAAAAGTAGTTAAAACTAAGAATAATGTTCACTGTTTTTCTAGATTGTCAAGAGGATGATCATGCAAGTGACTCAGTGATTACTGAGTTATGCAGGGCTTTCTGTTCTATTATGTAACTTTGCTGCCTTTTCCAAGTCTTTCCTCTCTGATTAGTATCTGTGTGTTGCTTCTCACATGGAACCAGGCATTTCAGGTAACAAGGAAAATTATGAGACGAGCTGGAGAATAATGGAAAGAAAAGTCAGAAGAGAATTTTAAATGTTTTATCAGACATCTTTTTATATGAATGGGCTAGGTATTACTAAACTTACTTAATACCTATTTTAACTATAGCATCATATTCCCTGTATATATAAACTTCACTAGGTATTTTTAATTTAGTTCTAAGACCTCAAAGCAGAAAACTATGACGAAACTGAATTTGCTTCACAATCAAATACAAGTATATTGAATTAATTTTGATTACTGTTCAACCTGAGCCCTGTTTTGAAAGAAGGCACATAGACACTTTAGAGAATGAACATTTCCTACAGTGGAAGGTATCGATTAATACTAGAAAGTGGGGCTTCCCTGGCGGCGCAGTGGTTGAGAGTCTGCCTGCCGATGCAGGGGACGTGGGTTTGTGCCCTGGTCCGGGAAGATCCCACATGCCGTGGAGCGGCTGGGCCCGTGAGCCATGGCTGCTGGGCTTGCGTGTCCGGAGCCTGTGCTCCGCAATGGAAGAGGCCACAACAGTGAGAGGCCCGCGTACCGCCAAAAAAAAAAAACAACACAAAATTCCTTGGAAATCCTTTTCTTTTCTGGGAATGTTGACTGGACGAATGGGCTCATCAATGATCTGTCCTGGGGATATGTTCTCCATTTGGCCCACTTCATCAGAAACAAAAAGAAGAAAAATGTCTTCCAGGTAGAAAAGATGAGAGGTTTCCATGTTCCTATAATTTTAAGTAAACTCTATAACAACAGAAGCTTGCCATATTTACCACTTAATTGTCCCTTCTTTCAGTATTTTTGCTGGTAAAACTGGGTGGACAGATGATAAAATTATATGGTAACGTCACTCTAACAACCACTAGTGCTTGGCTACTATGAACACCAAAGAATCTTACTAGATTCAAAAGCATTTTTTTTTGTAATAAGGTTTACTTTGTAATAAGATTAAATGTCTCCAAAGTAAGTGGTTTAACTTCTTAGTTAACTAATCAGTATCAATCATAAATGTCTAAATATATTTCGACTTTAATTTACAGAAGGAAAAAACAATATTCTACAAAGAGGCAGCCAGACTATGAAGGATTCCCCTTTACCTTTAGCTCTATGAATCTGGTCATTAAAGAAAAAGAACATTTACTTTAAATGTATCATTGCAATCAGTTCAAACCACATCAAGATAGCTGGTAGAACCATGTTTCTTCACACTAGTTGATGTGAAATGTATTATTTCTCACAAAGCCTTCATAAGGAAAAGGCTTAATGTTCTCCTGTCACCCCTCACTCCCAAAGAAATCATGAGCAGATAAAACAACCTGTATTTAATAGGATTTCCTAAATATTATTCAGTTTTTTGTTTGTTTGTTTTTAGTAAAGTGCTAAAAGTCCCACCACAAAGCTGCAACCATTAAAGTACAACCGCTGGCTAACAACCCTTTCAGATGTTAAAAATGATCACCACTGTTGATGGCAGCTGCCAGAGAAGAACTGAGGGTTAAGAAAAAGTCTCCAATTTCATCTCAAAATTGAGAATTGAATGGGAAATTCAAGGGAAGGTAAAGGGAAACTTGAGTTATGATGGTGTTTGTGGAGCTATATGCTAGTAAGATTTTTAATTCTCTTATCTACAGGAAGGGGGGCAGTTAAGAAATCTGTTTAGTGTTATACAGCAGAAACCAACACAACATTGTAAAGCAATTTTACTCCAACAAAGATGTTAAAAAAAAAAAAAAGAAATCTATTTGGGTGTAGTTTAAGTTTGAGTTCAGAGACTGCTGGCAAACAAACAAAACGCAGATCAGATGCATTAGAAAGTTTAATCTTGCTGACTCCACAAGGTATCAGCCATGCTTCTCCTGTTACTCTGGGCAACTTCCGGTGTTAGTTCTGGGAAGCCAGTTCCACAGCATGAGGTTATCACAGAGAACACCAATACCTGCCAGTGCTCTTGCTCATGTGGCACAGAGCCTGGTGACACCTCGTCCACCTTATGCCGCAGCATCACACACCGGGACTATCAGCGCTGAAAATCACCACCATCCACCAACGTTATGATATCTAAAGAGCGATCATACTGTGATTGGACAAATCAGGGCTGTGGCCACCTCCCATAACCTAGCATTTCATATGCATGATGCAGTCTGGAACCGCAGGACTAACTGAATGCCTTGTATGCCTCTCTACAAGAGATAGGAGATTCAAACTATTTAGTTTTACGTAAGTTATTTCTGGAGTTAGTTTAAACACAACAGCATGAGGATCTCAGGATCAGTACACAGCTGTGACCTTCACAGCTCCTGTATATATTCTGCATGTAAAACAAAATAATAAGATCCCTGCCATCTATGTTACTGGTTGCTTTAAGCCACAGAAACAATTCAACGAGGAGAAACTGGGAGAAAACAGATTCAACATGTTAAGTTTATCAACAAATGCACACATTTGGACTCTGTATAACTCAAAAAGAATGTTTTAAACCTACTGATTTTATCATATCTAAGGTGCCACTGATTATGACATATAGTATTATTTTATATAACACTAAAGAAGGAAAAATATTGCCAGTTAAACTAAAACCCATCAACTTCTGTAAGATACATCCTAATTTCAGAGAATGTTAAAATATGAAAAATTGTGCACCACAGAATTTATGAAATATGGTGAATATTTTAACTAAGAGATATTATGTTTTAAAAGAAAGCTTCACTTTCCTTTTGCAAAATCTCTAACGAAGATATTTTTGGTTCTGTACAAAAATGTCAGAGATAAAATTTGCCATACTTTCATTAAAATTTTACTCTTTGAATTCTTCCCAGAGATTAGAGTCTTCACAAAAACTCACAGGTAAAATATAGATGTCAGCTCAACATGACCTTGATTTATTTAACAAATCATATAATTAAAATAATCATATAATTAAAATGTCAACCCTTACGTAGTATCAGGAAAATATAAAGCCTGAAAGAGAGAAGCCAGAATACCACCCAGTTTTTAAGAGACTCAGGGGACCTTGGGGGTCATTTAGTCGAATGCTCCATCTAATACAGCAATCTTCTAGGAAGATCTGAAGCAACATCTATTTCCATTTTCAAGTATAATAGATTCTTTACGCTTGAGAGAAAAACATTCCTGAACCTTTTCGTCCTAGAAGTAGAAAGGAAATCGGAAATTTTTTTTTCCTCCCCTCACTTTGGTACAGGGAAGATCTTGATCTCAGGTTTAATTGAGAGTCAAATGAATTATTGTAAGTAGAGAGGGTCTGTTGGAAAATATGACACAAAGAAGTCAGTGCTCTTCAGACGGCTTGGGTTCTAGCCCCATTTTGGCCACTAAGTGGCTGAGACTTTGGAAGTCCCTTATGGTTTCTGGGCCTCAGCTCTGTTCTCCTATGAAATAATTAACTGATTTCTAGAATTCTTTTAGGTCTAAATTCCCCAACTCTATGAAAATTGAGATGGAACACCCACTCCTGGATTAAAATACAGCATAAAGCATATCAAATTTTGAAACACTCTCCATTTAGCCATACAATTTCTGCTAAAAATTATGTATGTTGGCATTAAAAAAGTCTTCACTGGCTTCTAAAAATGTCTCCTTAATTAAGTGTAGCCCATAGGAGGAGGTAAGAGTTTTGCTATTTTAAACCAGAAGCATTTAAGTATATTATATTTAGAAAAATATAAGAAAACTTTTAGATATTAGAAGGTGCTTTGCTGCACAAGGTTATCAGTGTTTTCTGTACACTGTGGGGATAAGGGGACAGGAGAGAAAGGTGTTGGAAAAGTGTGTTGTCTTTCTTCTCTGCCTTGGGGAGGGGAGGTACACTGCACTCAGCAAACGCTCAAGTCACATAAATCTATTTCATCTTATTCTGTAGATATGTATTATTTAACTCAACTTTTCTTAAGAATATCATAATGCCTTTTTTGTTTAATCTATGAATTGCCTTCTCAAATGTACTTATAGATTTAAGAATATAGCTGGCAGGATAGTTTAACTGATGAGGTTGAATTCTGATTGATAATGGCTTAAAATTGCTCTAAGCTTTCTCTTTAAGTAAAATATACATACCAAAGAAAGCTAAGTAAAAATGTAAAATAATAAATGGCTTTTCTATTTATCAGAAGTTACTAACATATGGTAAAGAAACGATTAGGAGCTTAAAAAATAATCTTACAAGTTAATACCCTTAAAATCAGTTTCATTCAAGCGGATACTCTGCTGTCTAATTATCATCTCATGATATAATTAATGCAGAGTTAAGTGCAGAAAGGTTCTCTGAATAAAGATTTTTTTTTTTGTAGTACGCGGGCCTCTCACTGCTGTGGCCTCTTCCGTTGCGGAGCACAGGCTCCAGACACGCAGGCACAGCGGCCATGGCTCATGGGCCCAGGCGCTCAGCGGCATGTGGGATCTTCCTGGACCGGGGCACGAACCCGCGTCCCCTGCATTGGCAGGCGGACTCTCAATCACTGCGCCACCAGGGAAGCCCTGAATAAAGATTTTTAAAGTTCCGCCAACAGACATTATAGTCTGGGTCTGTGATTCAGAGGTTCAAAATTTTAATAAATGGAATGATTATGACAGGTCAGACAATATACTAGGTGCTGTGAAAACAAGAGGAAATAAGAGGTGGTCACCATGCTCAGGAAGTTCATAGTCCATTGAGGAAGGCAGTAATTCAAACAGAAAAACTGCTAAAAATATGACAGTGAAAACCACAAAAGATGGGAGGCAAATTGTGGTACACAGAGGGTAGAGCCGTAGGGTCTATCTGTGTGATCAGGAAAGGCTACTCTTGAGCATGTGACATATAACTCTGGTCTCAAAGGATAAGCAGGACTTGACTAAGAAGCAAAAAGATCAAACAGATGGAACAGTTACGACAGGCCTGGCACGTTGGAGGAATGAGAGCCACACAGTTAATCATGGTAGATTCTTTTGAACATTCTCAGTGATGGGGAATCTTCACCCTTTGAGCAGAGCAAAAATTATTTAGAGTGACAATGACAGAAGAGATGGGCAGGCTGCACAGTACCATTTTTGGTCAAAATGGTAATAGCCTGCATAGGTCTGAAGGCAACTCCAAAGAGGGTCTCAAAATCTCTTGAACAATGAGATCATTGCTGGACTAAGCTGAGAATGTGGCTTTAGCCCTGTTCATTGCTATATCCCTGGCACCTACTCACTGAAGGAAAAAACACTAACCCACAAGACAAGAATCATTTGTATATAATAATAACTGATATTTGATCACTTCTCAAGGTGTTTTCCCATCATCATATATAAATCATGAGATGTTTTCTAAAATCTTATTTCTTTATAATCATAATTCATTTTTTTCTTATTTACTTCTCTTTTTGTTCTCCATTAGATGTAAGTTCTTTGAGGACACAGACTCTGTCTTACTCATCTTAGTATCCCTAGTACAAAGAATAATAGTAATAAAAATAAGTTGTATATAGGATTTACTGCGTGTCAGGAAATATACCAAATGCATTCCACATATTAATTAATTTAACCCTTACAAACCGTGTCAGGTAGACACCATTATCATTCCCATTTAACAGGCGGGAACACAGGCATAGAGAGGTTCAGTAACTTGCCCAATATCAGATGACTAATAGTGGAAGAGGTAGTATTTAAACCTGAGAAGCTTAGCTACAGAATCCATGCTCTTAACCACTAAGCAATACTGCCTAGCATAGCGCCTGGTCTATAGAAGATGGTCATTAGATGTTTGCTGAATGAATTCTCTCTTTGCAAATTATTACTACCATGAAAAGAACATTTTCCCCCACCTAGTAATGAAAATTTCCACTCCATGGAGGCCAGGTTTGCTGAACGTCATTTTTGTTATTGTCCCTAATATTCACACAAAAACCTTTTAAGCCACTAGTATTGCATATAAAACCAAGGTTCAGCAACTGTCATAGAAACATGTTTAAATACCTTCTAGTTCACCAATTTTTTTGGCAAATACTTTCAGTTGTTTTTTCAGTTTCCGGACAGTCTTATCTTGTTTTTCGAGTTGTTCCATCAAATCCTAAAGATCAAAATAAGAAATATAACAGAAAGACCAAAATAAACCTTCTAAAATGCACAGAAGGAGAGCAGACACAAAATTACAGAAACAGCACTTGTTAGTTTTACATAAAAGCTCCATGAAAGCTCATGGGTGGAGCCCCACCTGGCTAAAACTGGCAGGCAATGGGAAATGCAGCTATAATAAAAGCCAAATGTTAAAATATACAAGGCAGTAAACTCCTTTACAGCGTGATGGACAGCAGGCTCACTGTGGAGTCTTTTCCATTAGACTCCACAACAATTAAAATGCTTGTAAAATGTGCTGCTATTCCAGTAGAAAGTTTTTCTTTTAAAGGGGGAACAGGCAAAGTAAATTCTGATGAATGCACACAGTTTTTTGGGAAGTTTTAAGGATGGCTGAACTTAGGGGCTTTTGATTAACACCTATGTGTGTGAAGCACTTTCTCTATGAGTCCCACCCTTTGGAGAGGCTAAAACTAGTTCTGTAACTTAAGAAAAGTTAAGAAGTTTTGGGAATTAAAAGGTAAGTTAAAAAATAACAACAGTGGGGTGGGATAGGGAGGGTGGGAGGGAGATGCAAGAGGGAGGAGATATGGGGATGTATGTATATGTATAGCTGATTCACTTTGCTATAAAGCACAAACTAACACACCATTGTGAAGCAATTATACTCCAATAAAGATGTTTAAAAAAAAAATAACGACAGAAAACAGGAAAGAGAGGTCTGCAGCCCAAGTGGCAGTTTGGATAACATTCCCATAAAAATTTCCCAGGTGGCATGTTTGTTTATAGAGAAAAAAGGGGATAATTCCACATGGTTTATGCAAAAAGAGAAAACAAAAGCAGTTCATTCAAGGGTAGGGGGTTAAAAAAACTGTGATAATTGGCTCTCTAATCAAGAATTCTTTCAAATGACCAGCATAATTAAAAGATCGATAATTAAGAAGAAAAGTGGACAACAGCAGACTAGGAGCTTGGAAGGGAAATAAATCAGTGATTTAATAAGTCTGTGGTTGTTATTCAGGTTATGGATTAAAAAAGCTTTTATGAATACAAATATTCATTCATTTTCCAGTTTAGTTTAGACAAGGCTGATTTAGATACTAGACCAATGATTCAAAAGGAACAGTTGCTAACATTTCAAAGCGTTCAGTTGTTTCCTGGATTTTACTTTATCTTTCAAATTTTGCTTCCATCACACTGTAAGCCTAGTGTTAATAACAAACCGAAGGTGACAATGGACACAGGACATTGATAGAGGCGACATCACTGGCTAAAAGAAAGCTGTGGGGAGAAAGGTTTTGTGACAGTTTTTGAAGAGACTTCCTGGGGCGGGGCAGGCAGCGGTGCGCTCTTCAGTTACAGAGGGCTAGAATTAGCAGGGAAGACGACAGAGAAGCACTCTGAGTTTACATACAATCATCCGTTTGTAAAGTGAAATCCGATATGATTGATACTTCTTAGGATCATCTGCATATAATTCCTCAAAATACTGAAAAAACAGGCACAATGGACATTTGTTTTTCTCTGTGAGGGGAATGCTACCTCTCAGCGAAATCAATTTTAAAATATTTTAAAACACAAATAATGAAACTACGTATACTCAAAAGGCTCTGATTTGTCACCTGCCATTGACCTCTAATTTTTCTAGTACAGATGATTCTGATTATATATACACAAATATATTTTCACATGCTCAGAGGAAACAGGCTATGTTAGCAGGTAAACAGAGCTGTGGTCCATATTCCCCAGATACGGCTGTTATTTCAATTCTCAGACCTGCTCACAAATTGCTGCACTTTCTTTGCTGCCAGTAGCAGCGGCAAGAGTGGCGAATTCACTTAAAACAAAAGTGAGAATAATGGCAAAGTTGGAGTTCTTGTTTGAAGTTGGAAAGACTGATAAGAAGCTGTGTGCCTTCCTGCCCTGAAAGGCAGCTTGCAGGTGGCCTGTGACGCCTGTCCACTAGAGGAGGGAGAAAAACCATTTCTGGGATTGTGTTGGGGGGTAGGTGGGTGGGAAGGATTTGCAGGGTAGTTTCTCAGAACACTAAGCCTAGGCCCACTGCTGCTTTAATATTCTGCCCAAGTGTTTCCTAAAGAAATGCACAATTAAGATTGAGACACTATAATGATTGTGAAAAAGTGCATCATCCCCTATCTGTAAGTTTGAATCCATTCTCCTGAATTAGTAGTCAGCGAGGCAGAAGCAGCTGACCTACGAAGGGTTTTCCTAAAATTCAAACTCGTTAACCAGATTCTACCAGTTGAGAATTTGGGGGCTTAGTTTATGTTTGTATTAGCTATAAAAAATTGAGAAGAAAAGTAATACTGTGCATAAGGTTGAAAGGGAAATGCTTAACCAGCTTAGTGAAAAAACTCTGAGAATCTACCACCCAGAATCATCTTTATTTCATGGTTTCACCTTGTATTTTAAGATAATCATTTAAAAAGCACAGAATTTATATGCTGATCAATTATTATTATATTATTTAGTATATCAATTCTTAGGCAATAAAGCATTGTTAGTTTAATTTAAGCAACAATATACTTGTGAGTAATAAAATGACATCTCAGAAATATTCCATGATTCAGAAGACCTTCCCCCACAAATTAGTGATATTTCAGGCCCTTTGGAAAGAGTCCAAACTCTGCCCTCACCCACCTTTCCCATTCCTACAATGTAGCCTCACCAGCAAGCTGTCCTCAGAGGGAAGGACAGACTGGAAAAAGAATACCTTTGAGCTTTTTTTTTTTTTTTTTTAATTAATTAATTATTAGGCTGCATTGGGTCTTCCTTGCTGAGCGTGGGCTTTCTCTAGTTGCAGTGAGGGGGGCTACTCTTCACTGCGATGTGCTGGCTTCTCATTGTGGTGGCTTCTCTTGTTGTGAAGCACAGGCTCTCGGTGCGCGGGCTTCAGTACCTGTGGCACACAGGCTCAGGAGTTGTGGCTCTTGGGTTCTAGAGCACAGGCTCAGTAGTTGTGGCACACGGGCTTAGTTGCTCTGTGGCATGTAGGATTTTCCCGGACCAGGGCTCGAGCCCGTGTCCCCTGCATTGGCAGGTGGCTTCTTAACCACTGTGCCACCAGGGAAGTCTCATACCTTTGAGTTTTGCTTCAAATTAATATAAAAGATGGTTGAATAGATGACACTAGAAAACTATTTGTAATGTAAATGATCACTAATGGAATAATGGAGGGATAATTCAGATTGTTAAATCTTCAGAGAAAATCCAAACTATTTTAGTACAGCTCATTAAAACCCTGAATTGAAGAAATAGAAACAGCACTTCCCTGGTGGCGAAGTGGTTGGGAATCTGCCTGCCAATGCAGGGGACACAGGTTCAAGCCCTGGTCTGGGAAGATCCCACATGCCACAAAGCAACTAAGCCCATGCCCCACAACTACTAAGCCTGTGCTCTAGAGCCCATGAACCACAACTACTGAGCCCACGTGCCACAACTACTGAAACCCTCACGCCTAAAGCCCATGGTCCACAACAGGAGAAGCCACCACCACAATGAGAAGCCTGCGCACCGCAACGAAGACCCAACACTGCCAAAAATAAATAAGTAAACAAACAAACAAATTAATTAATTAAAAATAACCCAAAACAGAAACAAATTACCACTAGACCTAAACAGCTTTTCTCAAAACCAGACTGACACTACAATATATATTTTATATAGAAATATGGAATTGGGAGTTCCCTGGTTGGGTAACTGAGGAACTGAGATCCCACAAACCACGTGGTGCAGCCAAAAAAAAAAAAAAAAGGGGAATTATACTTTTTCAATGACTTTTACTTTAATAAATATGTTTATCAAACTTAAGTATAAATCTGTAATAAAAGTTATTTTGTGACTGAGAAAGAAACATTTTAGAAAATATTTTCTATAAAAGAAAGAAGGACAGAAAGAGAAAAAGAACAAACTTGGACTCTGCGCCAGCACTCAGAATCTGGCAAGGGGAAAAAAATCTCCTTATTCTGTTAAAAAAGAATCACGAATGTGTAAACTTGAATCCTGACGTTCCTCCTCCCTGACCTTGGAACTCCAACCAAGGTCAACCTACAGCCCCACGTTGGTTCTGCCAACTGCCTTCCCTGACCCTAACTCTAACTCCGCTGTCTGCTAGAGACTGGGGCTGGGATGGTCACAGTGGTGCTTGGGGACCAAAGGTAGTGACAACTACATAACCTCCTCGATGGCAGAGAAGCTGCAGCTGACGTGGAGAAAGCTGAGTTCCTGAGGATATCAAAGCACAGCACACAGTCGGCCAATATCTTCCAGACCCTCCAAGTGAGGGCTGAGGATGCTGAGATGCACCAGAGCCTTCTGTGAGAAACAACCCGAGTACACGCCTTTTTCACTTCTACCAACACAGTCGTATTTTCCTTACTCTGTCTCTGATAGGGAAA